GTGACTCTGTCTGTGTGTTTTAAGCCCCTAAGGTAAGATCAGAAAGCGTCTGGGGCAGTGAGAGCCAAATAGTTGAAGTCATACATTAATTATGGTCATGAATCATTTTTATTTTTAAAGTCTTTACCATTTGACAAGGTTGTTTGCATAGTACTAGTGAGTTTTAGGCAGCATTTTCCCTCCTTTTAAAGTAACAGGTTATTTTGTTGATTTCTACTCTGGGTTGATAATGCCTATCAAATTAGAATTCTGATAACATTTTTAATAGAAATTGCTTGTTTCTTGCCAGAATGAATGGTCTTTAGTTTATATGATTTTTCTTTTGAATATATTTTGAAGTCATAGAAAACTGTCACTTTAATCTTTTAACTCTTTCACTGATATCTGTTGTTGTTCAGTCACTAAGTCATGTCCGACACTCTGCGACCCCATGGACTGCAGCATGCCAGGTTTCCCTGTCCTCTGCTGTCTGCTAAATGGACAAATTCATGTCCATTGAATCAGTAGTGCTGTCCGACCATCTCATCCTATGTTGCCCTCTTCTCCTTTGCCTTCAAATCTTTCCCAGCATCAGTATATCAGTATCAGTAAAAATAATCAAAATTTGGGGACTGTACTTTGATATACAGGCATCAGTCGACATTCAGTCAGCAATATGTTTTGTGCTACATTCTGTGCTAAGCACTGGGAATGTAAATGAAAAAAAGGTGTTTGTTTCTTTTTCTCAGAAGGATCTAGTAAAGAAATAGCAAAGGAAATAGACAGTTGCCATAAAATGTGGTTCTATAATCTTTGTTAGTGTTTGTATGATGCCATGGATCCCCACAGGAAGAAGTACCTTTGCCTGTCTGGGATAGTCAGGGAAGGCCTTTGAAGGAGAATGTATGCTAGGGGTGTCCTTGTCTGTTAAGAGTGAGGGAAACTTATAGGCAGATAGAACAACTCACTCAAAGGTACAGAAGGAAGAAATGGCATGATGTGTTTGGAGAGTTGCTAGTCATTCAGTGTTGTTGGAGTTGTGTGTACAAGGTTAGAACAGCAGAAAATGAGGCTGGGGCCACATCACAAAGGGCATTTCCTTGGTTTCATGTTTCTTAGTCACCTTTATAGGAGAGTATTGTTCTCAAGAGAGTGTACACCTGCACAGACAGCAAGAGTCAGTGGGATGGAGAATAGTCTCCTCTATTGGATTTCTTTGGGGTCTCGAGGAAGTTGCAAAAGGACTGATCTCATGAGCAGTCTCAGAAGAGTTGCTCCTTTTTAGATCACCTGAAAAGTCCTCACTAACTATCAGGCGGTTTCTGAAAGTGCAAAATATGTCTTGACTCTTTTTAGTGCAAGGTGTTATGATAATAATGTTGGCAGAGGTATTGATATTATCAACTCCCTCAGAAAATTAACATCCTTGTGTATAGGGTAACTTTCAGGTTAGGAGAGTTCACTGGTTTTATTCATTTAAAAAACTGAAGTAGAACTTCCTTACAGTGAAATACTTAGATCTTAAGTTTAAATTCTGTGTGTACCTTTGCACCTCTCACCTCAACCAAGAGATGAAACATTTCCATCACTTCAGATAGTTGCTTTATTTTCCTTGGTCTCTTCTAGTCAGTCCTGCCTGACAGAGGCAACCAGCCACTCTTAATTTCTGTCATCATGGATTGGTTTTACCTGTTCTTGAACTTTGTTTAAATGGAATCATATAGTATGTACTTTTTTGTGCCTGAGTTTTTTCACTCACCCTAATGTTTTTGAGGTTCATTCACATTGTTGTGTATATCACTGTTGTGTTCCTTTTTAATGCTGAGTAGAATTTCATTATATGAGTATACCACAGTTGCCTTATTAATTCTCTTGTTTGATGGACATTTGGGTCATTTTCTGTGAACATTCTTACAAATATCTTCTTGTGAATATCTTTTTGTATTTCTTGAGTAAATGGTAAGGAGTAGAAATACTGGGTCACAGGTTAGATGTTTGTATAACTTTATAAGAAACAGTTTTCCAAAGTGATGACACTATTTTGCCACCAGCACATGCAAGTCCTAGTTGCTCCACATCCTTCTAGCATTGGGTGTTATAATTTTAGTTATCCTATCAGGTATGAAATGGTATTGCATTTCAATTTTAATTTCCACAATGACTGAGATTTTGAGCACATTTTCCTATGCTTATTGTCTTATATCTTACTGTTTTCATAATTTATTTTTGGTTGTGCTGGGTTTTCATTGATGCATGTGAGTCTTCTCTAGTTGTGATGCATGGGCTCCCCATTGCGGTGGCTTCTCTTGTCATAGAGCATGGACTCTCATATCTGTTTTGTGAAGTGTTTCACTCTTTTGCCCATTTTTTTTTTATTATATATTCCTCTAGAGATACAGAAGCTGTATCTCTCTAGTAGACAACTAACACATAGAATACATTCTTAATTCTTATTAAAACAGTGAATGAGCGCTTGATGTGATTATTTTAACAGAGGTTCTATCTCTGGAATCAGAACTGCTTATTCTCTGAAATCACGGAACTGCTTTTTCTGTGCTCACTTTGGCAGCACGTATACTAAAACAGGGAACTGGTTTTTTTTCTATGTTACTTTATAACACCAGTTCTCTACAGAGTGGCCCAGATAAAATTAAATACCTGGTTTGTTTCTTTCATGTAACTCTGCTAGCTGCATCTTGAGGGATAAGCTCCCTGCTATTTCTAAAGATCAGTGACATGGCTTGGTAATTCATTGTTGTTATTGTTCAGTTGCTAAGTTGTGTCCAACTCTTTGCAACCGCATGGACTGCAGCATGCCAGGCTCCTCTGTCCTCCACTATCTCCTGGAGTTTGCTCAAATTCATTGCCATTGTGTCGGTGATGGTGTCTAACTGTGAGCACCAAAGAATTAATGCTTTTAAACTGTGGTGCTGGAGAAGACTCTTAAGAGTCCCTTGGACTGCAAGGATATCAAACCAGTCAATCTTAAAGAAAATCAGTCCTGAATATTCATTGGAAGGACTGCTGCTGAAGCTGAAGCGCCAATACTTTGGCCACCTGATGCCAAGACCTGACTCATTGGAAAAGACCTTGATACTGGGAAAGACTGAAGGTGAAGGAAGAAGGGGTTGCAAGGGGTGGTAATTCATGGTCTCACACAATCATTTGAGGTGAATTAGCAACCACAGTCAGAAAGTTGATAGATATTTACATAACATCTACTTTGTAAATGTTTTGTCCTACTTTGTAAATGTTTTGCCCATTTTTAATTAGGTTGTCTCTTTGTTACTGATATGTAAGGGTTCTTTATATACTCCAGGCATAGTACTTTGTCTAATTGATGTTTTGTAAGTATTTTCTCCTAGTCCATGGCCTGCTTCTATATTTTCTTAATGGCATCTTTAGATGAACAGAGATTTTTTTTTTGGCAATGCCTAATTTATTCATTTTTAATTTTATGGTTAGTGCTTTTGTGTCTTCTCTAAGAAATCTTTGCCTACCCCACGTTTGCAAGAGATTCTCCTTTGTTTTCTTCTACAGTTTTTATGATTTATATTTACTTTTATATTTACTGTGATATTCTTGAGTTAATTTTTTTTTTGTGCTGTGAGGTTGGGAATAAAATCCATTTTTTCCTTATCCAGTGTTTCCAGCACCATTTGTTTAAAAATTTTTCCTTTTTCATTAGTCTCCTATGTTCCTTTGTCCAAAACCAATTGACCATACATGTGTGGGTTCATTTGTATACTCTTTATTCTGTTCCATTGATCTATTTTTTGATTCTTATAGTGAAGTCGCTCAGTCATGTCCGACTCTTTGCATCCCCATGGGCTGTAGCCTGCCAGGCTCCTCTGTCCATGGCATTCTCCAGGTCAGAATGCTGGAATGGGTAGCTGTTCCCTTCTCCAGGGGATCTTTCCAAGCCAAGGGTTGAACACAGGCCTTCTGCACTGCAGGCAGATTCCTTACCAACTGAGCCACCAGGGAATCCCAAGAATCCTGGAGTGGGTAGCCTGTCCCTTCTCCAGGGCATCTTCCCGGTCCAGCAACTGAACCAGGGTCTCCTGCATTGCAGTCAGATTCTTTACTGTGAGCCACCAGGGAAGCCCATCCTTGATCCTTAGACTAGTACCATAATGTTTAATTGTGTAGCTTTTATAAAAGGAAGTCTTGAAATCTGGCAGATTTAAAGATTGGTTTATCTCTTCTAGATTCTTTGTTTTTCTATATAATTAGTAGTATCAGCTTCTTAATTTCTACAAAAAGAAACACACACACACAAAGCCTGTTGTGATTTTGATTGTAATTGTGAAATTATTGACCCACAGAAATACAACTGAATGTTTGTTGACCCTGTGTCTGTGACATTATTAGTTCTTGTAGTTGTGGATTCCTAATGATTTTCTACATGAAAATCATGTCATCTGTGAATAAAGAAAATTTGAGCATTTTAAATATGTACATATACACAAAATATATAAGCTATATTTGAAGACAGATACCAAGAAAAGCACAAACCTGTAATTAAAGCAAAAAAAAAAAAAACTCTTAATTTTTCAGTGCTCCTTGTTTCAAAAGATCTGCTGCTTTAATTCAGTCTTCTTGGAATTACCATTAATTTTTTTTTTTTCTTTCTGGATACCCATAAGTAATAGCGTTCATAGCAGTGATTTTTTTTAATGCCTTTACTAATGCAGTTAATATCTCTGGGCCTCAAGTTTCCTATCTTTAAAGTGATAGGATTCAATCAGATTATTTTCTGAGGTCTCTCAGATTCCCATTTTAGCTCTCAATACGTCATAGGCCGGCAGGTGGGCATAGAAAGGGTGTTTTTAGAACGTACTGTAACCCTTGTTATTTGCCTGTTGTAAATATGCTAGAGAACTGTGAACTGATCAGTTTGAGTTCGTTATTCTCTTTATCTTGGAAGCTTTGTTCTCATTTTGTTCCATTTATGCCTGTGGCTCTGGGTTGAGTTTATAGTTAACTCACTTACATTTTTCTACAACTTTTATTTCTAGGCTTCATAGAGCCCAGTGTGCAATTAAACAGACTCAGGTAACTGTTCAGAAAATTGGAAAGGAAATTGAAGAAAAACTAAGACTCACATCTACAAGCAATGGGCTGGTAGGTTTTTATATATTAACATCTCTAAATTCCTTGATTTCTAAGTGTGATCATCATATTCTTCTTGTATTACTTTCTCTCTTTCCCCACTCCTCCGAAACCTGCAGGTAGTTTTTCCTTTTTTTCCCCCTTAATGTTTCACTGAGACTTCTATTAGTATTTAAATGTTAGAAATCAGACTTTCACATCTGCTGATAGTGTAACGTACAAAGTGCCTTTTTGTGTTAATTGGAACTTTAGAATACATACAGTTACTTAGAAAATAATCAAAAGCTATTTTAGTAATGTCTCATAAATATGAACTCAAACTGTACGGACACAAACTATATAATGAATGAAAAATAGCTGCCAGAAGAAAAAATATATAAACTTTAGAGACTAATCTGCTTTAAAAATTTTTTAAATTATTTGGATTGAATTTAGTAAATCAGTTTATGGACAGTGTTCTCTTTCGGGAAAGATTCTTTTAAAGAGATATTTCCAAAGAATAGATATTCCAACCCAAACAGACAGATTTAAGATACTAGCATAATTTTGGGGTTGCTTTATACTCTTCCTAGTGGAATGAAAATTCTTTTTAAGTAGAATAGTGAGTATAACCAATAGATGGAACTCTCAAAGTGAAGTCACATTGCTAATGATAGCTTTTGGAAAAAAAAAAAAAGATAGCTTTTGAAGAAATTTGTGCTATGATTGTGTTAGTGCATTCTAATAAGTACCTTTAGTCATGTCCGACTCTTTGCAACACTATGGACTGCAGCCCGTCAGGCTCCTCTGTCCATGGAATATCCAGGCAAGAATACTGGAGTGGGTTGCTGTACCCTCCTCCAGGGGATCTTCCCAACCCCTGGATTGAACCTGCGTCTCTTACATCTCTGCATTGGCAGGCAGTTTCTTTACCACTGGCACCATCTGGGAAGCCCATGCTATGGGTAATGGTACTTAAAATAAAACTTGAATCCTCAGGTTAAGTCTGAAGTGAAAACCTTTTGAGTATTTGTTTGCACGAACTCAGTAACATGAATAGGCAGTATAGTCCAGCTGTCATTCACTGTACTACCAATTTGGCAAAAGCTCTTTATGTCTCCAAACAAAAGTTCCATTACCTATAAGATTTGCCTGACATAATTATTCAGGGGATTAACTATAGAAAAGCAATTAACCTACATAGGTTTTATTTCATGGAATTTAAAATTAATGGATGATAAAGTAATCTATATAAAACTGCTGATTTTGACCTATAAATGGCAGTGTCATATAACTCAACCTAATATATAAAATATCTAGTTCTGTGCCTGTACATGGCCGGCATGCAAAATATGGTAGCTGCAATAACTACGGTAATAATACTTGTTATTCATATGACTTTTCTTGCCTGTGGAAAATCTTCCACTTTGGAGAAGCTGTTAAACCTCCTCCTATAACTCAGGCCCCAAAAAGGGCCAAACTCCAGGCCACAAATATATTGGAGGAAGAGGAAAAACTAGCTAATTTTAATCCTTTCTATAGTGTACAAAAATACCACATTTTTAGAGCCTTTGTCTGGTGAGAAACTCTAGGTTTTTTCTTATTTTCCTCTCCCAAGGCAAGACTGGGAAATTACTTATTTCATTAAGTGACAGCATATGCTTTGTCTCAGTATGGAAAAATGTATGTTTAATTCTATTTTTCTAAAATATAAGTGGTGACATGCAGAGCAAGGTGATAGAGTGTAGGAGTTTAAAGAGTTTAGGTTCAGAGGTTCACTGTGTGTTTTTATGCGGCCTAGTCAACGTAGAACAAAATCATGGGATTTTTGAACTGAAAGTGAACCTAGAAATCTGTTTCTTTTATAACCTCACCTAAAACCACACCCAACTACTACATTCTGTTCCCTTCCCTCCTTTGATTTTCTCCATAAAAATATTACCGTTTAACATGCTATACACTTTACATATGTATTTTATTTGTCTCTCTAAACTCTGTGAGGAGAGGGAGTTTTGTCTATTTTTTTTTTTTTTCTCCTCATGGCTGTATTTTCCAGTGTAGTGGTGGACACACAGTAGGTGCTCAGTAAATATTTTTTGAATTTAAGAATGAATCTAGTGTAATATCTTTTTAAGGAACAGGTAAATGAGACCTAAAGAAAGTAAGCAACTTTCCTATCATCATTAGACAGAGTCAGAATTTTTGGTTTCCTTGCCTTTTTTTCAAGAAGTAATATTTGTTACCTGCTGTGAGATTTATCTGTAATAAATTAGAAGCTCTTACTATTATCTTTTTTTCCTTCATTCCCTTTCCAAATTGGCCCAAGGTCCTTATTCTTCAACTCAATCATTTTCAGTGTATAAGAATTAATTTTAGTCTAAGTATAAATACAGTCAGAAGGCATATTTGATGTAGAAAGAAATTAGATTACCTTCTAAGATCAAATTAACTGTTAGAAGAAATTAGGTTCATACTTTCTGAACTTTGGCATCTTGTCATCAATGTCCAACATAATTTTGGTGGCACGTAATTATGTTTTTTAAGAAATTTCTGTATCTCCATTTTGTTTTCAAGATTTTGGATCATTTTTATTATCATTATTCTAAATTCTTTTTCAGGTAGATTCCCTATCTCCTCCTTTTTTGTTTGACTTGGTGGGCTTTTTTCATGTTCCTTTAGCTGTTGGGTATTTCTCTGCCTTTTCATCTTGTTTAGATTGCTGTGTCTGGAGTGGGCTTTCTGTATTCTTGTGGTCTGNGCCAGTGCAAAGGGCGGAAGCTGGGAGAACTACAACAATTTAAACACTGCTATTTCACTAATAATTAATTTTTTGATTTATTTTCATAGAAAATATTTAAACTTTTCTTGATCCTATTTATATAGTCACCTCATAACAATCCTTCACATTTTTTCAAATATATTAAAGATAGCATTTGCTGTCTGTACAAGTATCAAATAATGTAGAAGTATATTAAACAGAAGCTAAAAGTTATTTGCCTGTCCAAATGTAACCAAAAAAAATCATAGCCATCTTTCTTCCATACAGAAACTAAAAGTTATCTGCCTAAACTCATACCCTCCTGTCTATAACCCCAGTCTGCAGAGATGATTACTGTTAACAGTTTGGTACCTATTTTTCTGAAACTATATACATATATATATATTATATACACATATACTATATACATATATATATTATACACTCAGGCATAAATATGTATTAATGCAGGACTGAGGTTATCTGTGTATTATAATATATGCTATATAATATATATATATATATATATATACACACCTCATGTGTGATATTGAAGAAGGCAGTGGCACCCCAATCCAGTACTCCTGCCTGGAGAATCCCAGGGATGGCGGAGCCTGGTGGGCTGCCGTCTGTGGGGTCGCACAGAGTCAGACACGACTGACCGACTTAGCAGCAGGAGCAACAGCAGCCATCAGCCAGACAAACCAGATTCGTGTCTGCGCAAAGCCTGCAGTCTAGTAGGACACACAGACACTAAGACAGCAACGCCCACAGTGTGTCTAGGTGTTCCTCGTGAGCACAAGACCCTGGGTACTTGCCCCTGTGCGCTGGTTGTTTCCCAGTGTCCTTAATATACAGATCCAGGTGATAAATTTTTCTGAGAAACTTTGTGCCAGGGGAAAAACGCTTGCCTTCTCCCAACACTTCATTTATTTCAAGGTACTAAGAAACCCATCATATTTCTCTTTTCGTCTTGTCTGCCAGAAAGTTCAGGGCCAAATTTAGACCTCAATCACAAACCATTACTTAGTTTCTTGTTCCGGCTTACAGATCTCTTGTTATCCATATAGTTTTCCTTTAATTTATGCATCTCTGGATACCCACATATGTGTCTTTACCATAACCTCTCCAAGTCCCTCACCAAAGCAAGTGGAATGCAGGTTCTACAGCGTGTGGCTCCTTCTACCCCAATCCCAGAAGGGCCAGCGCCCTCATCCTGCACACAGGGCCTCAGGCTGCAGGCTGAAGCCTCCTCTTTCCCCACCCCCAGCAGGGAGAGAGTCCAAGGACTTGAGCTACTCTGATAGGCTTAGTCTGGCCAAGGTGCCCCAGGCACCAGGCCTCTCTCTCATCCCTCCAGTCCCTCCCATGGGGCAGAGGTCCTATTAAAAGGGCTAGACCTGGGAATCGCCAGTGGTTAAGACTCTGTGGTCCCACTGCAACAGACACAGGTTTGATCCCTGGTCAGGGAACTAAGATCCCACATGTCTCATGGTGCAGCCCAAAAATAATAAAATAAATAAATAAATAAATAAAAAAGATCCCCCCCCAAAAAAAATAAAGCTTAATTATCACAAAAAAAAAGAAAAAAGAAATTTCTGCAGTTATCATTTTGATTTTTTTTTTTGCTTCAGTGTTTTCGATATTGTCAAATTGCCTTTCCTTCCAGATTTCGTTAATTTTTACCTTAATGTACCTTTTCTGTTCCAGAATCCCATCCAGAAAACCATATTGCTTTTAGTAGTTAAACTTTGTTAGACTCTTTTTGGTTGTGAAAATTCTTCAGACTTTGATTTTTTTATGATCTTGACAGTTTTAAGGATTACTTGGTCAGCTGTTTTATATAATATCCCTTGATTGGGGTTTGTCTGATGTTTTGTTGCAATTAAACTCAGTTCTCATGTCTTTTTTTGTTCCAGTATCCAGTCTAGGACACCACATTTAGTTAGTCATCATGACTTCCTAGGCTTCTCTGATATTTGACAATTTTTCGTTCTTTCCTACTTTTAAATCATGACTAATGCTGATAGTAACCTTGATCCCTTGGTTAAAGGTAATGTTTCCTGTGTTTATGTACTCTAAAGTTCTCTTTCTGTACTCTGTTTGGAAAGCAAGATATTCAACCTGGCCTCCACTCAAGAAGAGGGGACTTCAGCTCCACCTCCTGGAGGGGAGACAATCTTAATTTAACACATTATTTGGAATTCTTTGTGAGGAAGATTTGTCCCTTCTTCCCCCACTCATTTATTTATTTATTCAATCATTTAATCTTCAG